GGGGGGGGGGGGCTTGTTATGAAACTCATGGCCTCATGCATTGCTAAGCACATATTATATCACTGACCTACACACCTACAAGCCCCAAAAGACTTAAAAAAAAAAAAAAAAGCTTGGAGTGGTGTTACACATATTAGTAATCCCAGCATTCTGGAAGGCTGAGACAGGAAGATCACAACTTAAAGCCTAGCCTGGGCAAATTAGCAAGATCCTGACTCAAACAAACACAAAAAAACAGAACAAATAAAATTGGGGGTGGGGGGAGATGTAGCTCAGTGGGAAGGCCCTGGGTTCAATTCTCAGTGATGAAGAAAGAAAAAGTATTGGAAGGGAGGGAAGGAAGATGGAGAATCTTAGAATTCACAATTCTAGGAATCTATTTTGAAGACAATATTAAAGATGTGACAATAATTATTTTTCCTACAAGGATATATGACAAATTATGTTATAGGTGAAATTTTTCTTTTTCCATTATAAACTGGGATAGGGATTTAGCTCAGTGGTAGTGTGCTTGCCTAGCATGCTTGAGGCCCTGGGTTCAAATCCCAGCATGGGCAAGGAAAAAAGAGAGTTAGAAATCAGGCTGGGTGTAGCCCATCTGTGACACCAGCTGTTTGGGAGGTGAATGCAGAAGCACTGCAGGCTCAAGCCCAACCGGGCCAACCTAGTAGAAGCCTGCCTGTCTCCAAAAAATGTTTTTTATTTTTGCAAAATTTTTCAATCTTTTAGGTTTTAGTTTTTAAGTTGAACATGGTTTAACCACAGGTGAAACTATATAAACCACCACTCCCATGTCCTGTAAGCAGAGCCTGGCCAGTTTGACCTGTGGCAGCCACTGCTAACAATCCGGTACAAACACCCTTGTACTGTGCTCACACAGATAGGAAGACATTGATCCACACACTTAACAGATACCTACAGCGCATGCTCATGTCCCTTATGCATTTTCACAGAAATGGAATAACAAAACACCTCTTGATTTTCTTCCACCTGTTCAACCATAAGCCTGTCCTGCTCAAAAGATACTGATTGTATTCACTTTTTTAATAGCTAATAATGTTTCACAGAACATGTATGTGCTACAATATATTACTATTGGCTATTCAAGACACTTCCAGATTTTAGATTTTTAATGCTGCAATAAACATCCTTGCATACATATTCTGCTACTTTGATATTTTGCATAGGATAAAGTTCCAAAAGTGAGTTTGCTCTATATCCAGTACATACATATGTTTAAAAATTAGTAGACATTATTACATTACCAACATTGTATGAGATACCATATTCTCCCCAATACTGAATGTACTTTTTGCTAATCTGGTAATTCACTGTTAGTTTATTTGTATTTCTCTGCCTGTCATGGAAATTGAGGTTTTCATTTGTTTACTGACCATTCATATTTCTTCTATTCACGTCCTATTTCTATATTGCTTCTATTTCTACTGTTACCATAGTAGTCCAAATAATTTTTCCCAAACTCAGAATTATCACTCAAGAAAGTGAAGCTTACACCATATGCCTAGGACATGCATAGCAGAAGAGAGCAACACTCACCTAAATGGGGAAACAGATCTGTGTCCAGCTGATGCTTCTGGGTGTATAGTTTCACCAGTCTCTGCAGCCGACTTATGCAGGAGAAGTGTGGAGAGAAGGCGGTGGCTTTCATGAGGACCCGGTCAGTCCGGGGCAGGTCCGCAGCAGTAGCCCTGCTGGCTGGAAGGAGGGGCGGAGGCCTCTTGTGCGATGCCTGCCGAGCTTGTGCTATGGTGAGTGTGGTGGGGGCCACTCCCTGCACTGGTGCGCTGGTGTTCTGAGGTTGAGGTGACTTGCAGATGGAGCCCTGTGGTGGCGCTGGAGGTTTTAAAGATGTGGATAAAGGTGACAGGTGGGAGTGCTGCTGCGGAGGCTGCTGCTGCTGCTGGGAAGATGCAGGAGGGGGACTAAAGTGCTCTTGTCGAACTTTTAGAATCTCGGTCTCTCTCTGGCGCTGCCGGTTCTGGGCCAACTTGCTCTGCAACTTCCTTCTCACAGTTGCCCCTTTCTTTAGGTCATCGTCTTCCTCATTGAACGCAAACGGGTCTTCAAACTCAGTGTCCAGGTAGTGGAGAGGGACCCTGGCCCCAGGTGGAGAGAGGGACATGCCATCCAGTCCATTGGGCATCTTCAGGGCCAGCGTGGGCACTGTCAGGCTGAAGGCCATGGTATCCATCTGGTGCCTGACCTTTACCTCATCTATAGGATCATTCTTTTTCTTCCTCTCTTTTTTCGGGATAAAGCCAAGTACCTGCAAGTGGCTGTTGCAGTACCTTTAAAAGTACACATACATACACACACACACACACACACACACACACACACACACACACACAGGAAAGTGTTCATGAGACAGAGAACAGAGTATATATGATAAAATACTAATATACTAAAATATTATAAAATTTGAAATCTAATACGTTAAAAATTGCACATCTACAGTAACTCTTGACATTCACTGATTTAATATGCAACCTCCACTACTCTGGAGCAATTCCAAGTCACTGTAATTTTGCTGAGGCAAATGTGTGCACTGCACATGTGTAGGTGGCCTGACACCCAGCTAGTGAGCACCCAAATAACAAACAGCTGTCTGTGCAACTCACTGGACTTCATTACTCTCCATGCACAACATACGGAGCAACTCCTCAAGAGTCTGAAGGACCACCTCAAATTCACTTACGGAAAAAAATCCTGTTCCAATGCCATTCAAGCATGGGGAGATTCACAAAGACCCTATGACATAACCCTTAAGGACATCAAGTGTCTACTATGTGCTTTACACACACACACACACACACACACACACACACACAGAAGGAGGTGAGGAGAATGGAAGAGAAACTCAGTGTGGTGTTACACGTGGGGAGGCTGAGACAGGGAAGGCTGCCTGGGCTACACAGGGAGATCTTGTCTCAAGAAGAAAATACAGGGGTAGGGATGTAGCTCAGTGGTAGAGTGCTTGCCTAGCATCCATGAGGCCCTGGGTCCAATGCCCCTGCTCCCCAAAAAAGAGGAAAATAAAGGAATGGAAGGATACATAAAAGAATAAAACTGGACAGTGGAATTCTAGGTGAACTGAGTTGCTCAATAGCCAGATGGCTAGCACCAACCTGGAGGAGACACCAAAACAATGCCCTCTCTACATATGAGGAAACTACGCTTTATAGAAATGAATGTGCCCCAAACCACTTTCTTCTTGGAAAGTGACACACCTGAGACCTAAACTGAAATCAAGTCTTGTGGTCCACCGTGGTGGCACACATGCACAATCCCAGCTTCTTTAGAGGCTGAGGCAGCAGGACTGCAAGCTTGAGGTCAGCTTGGGCAACTTGGCTAGACCCTGACACAGAAAATAAAAAATAAGAAGGACTAGGGATATAGGTCAGTGGTACAGTCTCGAACACACAAGGCCCTGCCTGATTCAAGTGAGGTGGCAGTGGGAGTGGTTTAAAGCTCTCGAAGTGCGAAATGTCTCATTAATCTTCAACAATGAGCAGGCAATTTTTGAAATGTAAATGTTATTTTTAAAATACTATAAAGAGATAGAGTCTTTTTTACATAATAGGTAATCAGAATACATTTTATGACAAAAGACTCTACTGAAAACCTGTAGACTTTTGGCCAAGAAAATGGCCTCTGAACTCATATTCTTCCTACAGTTCCACTGTATGCTTAACAGGTATGCCATAAACAGTATTTTGTGTTAAATAAATCTGGAAATACTAGCTTAAGCAAAGTTATACAATGATTTTGTTGTTGTTCGTTTCTGCTGAAAAACTTCTCAAAACAGTTTGTATGATAACATGTATTACAAAGTTCCAAGAGGGACATGTACCCATCTGGCACTGTTACCCAAAGTTATTTGAAGATGGAACCTTTTTTTTAATTTTTTGAGACAGGATATCACTATGTAGTTCAGACTGGCCTCGAACTCACTGTGATCCCCCTGCCTCAACCTCCCAAGTGCTGGGATTACAGGCATGCACCAGCACGATCGGCTCCGAAAATGGAACCTATTATTACAGCATACAAGCACTACCTCCACAGAGCACACTGAGCAGGCTTCAACTAGTCCCACATCCCTTACACAAAGCAGATTCACAAAGTTGTGGCTAACGGGGAAAACAGTGTTGGGAATAACAGCACTAACCAAGAAGTAAAAAAAATAAAATAGTGAATGGTTTTTGTTGTTTGGGCTCTTTTTCTTTTTTAAGTAGGGAAAGGTGAGGTAGTTGGTTGGCTGTTTTTGTTTAGAAATCAAATTTCTTTGCTCATTTGCATGCTGGCTCAGCTGGTGCTGTCTGTGTGGGTCACAGTCCGACACAGCAGAGGGGACCTGCAACCCCAGCCAGCCTTCCCCAAGCCTTCCTTACAGCCACCAGGGCCACACACACCACACAGCCTGCACGCTGCAAGCCTGCTTCTTCCAGGAGGGAAAGAACTCACAACTAGACCAGAACAGCTCAAGCAGTTGTGATGAGCATTTAAAATAAGTACACAAATACAAACGTCCAGCATACAGGACAATTCCAGAGGGGAACAATTGCTGATGGGGCAGGACTTCTGGGGGAGGACGGAAATGTTCTACACTAGACAGTGGTGATGCTGCCCAATCTTGCAAAGTAGGAAAAAGGACATTAAATGGGTGCCATATATAAGCTATGTTGCTCACATCTTCATTAAGCTGTTTTTAAAAAGCAAATGCATAAGAGGGCCAGGGATTTAGCTCAGTGGTGCCTCGCCTGCCTTACAAGCACAAGGTCCCGAGTTCAATCCCCAGGACCAAAAAAAAAAGGAAATGAGTAAGAAACAAAATTTCTTGGGAGATATATACTACTATATACATAACAAATATAACAAAGGGGCCAGGGATTTAGCTCAGTGGTTCCGTCACCTGCCTCACAAGCAGAAGGACCAGAGTTCGATCCCCAGTACCAAAAAAGCCCCAAATATAGCAAAGTTAAATTTGAAGGTAATTATAAAAATAGCTGGTTTAACATAGCCACTTTTTTTTTAGCCACTTCTAAGCCAAGGTTATTGGAATGAGGTTCAGAGTACAATGTATAAGTACACTTAAAAATGGCCTTTCTTAGGACTTCTGCTAAGCATAACACTACTCTACTGCAAAAGGGGGGAAGCCCCTAAGTAAGGATTTATAATACAAATCAATTAAGTTAGAAACCACAAATTATGATTCCTCTAGTTGATCCACAGCCAAGTAACTTTTGTTAACTAAAGTTTGTTTTCAGTAATGATAAGCTGGGTATGATGGCACATGACTGTAATCCTCACATTCAGGAGGGTGAGGCAGGAGGATCACAGTGAGTTCAAGGCCAACCTGAACTATATAGTGAAACCCTGTCTAAAAAATAAAAATGTAAAAATAAACAATAAATAAAACCATCTCAAATTCCTGAATGCTCAAAGAGTTAAGTGTGTTAATAATGGAAGCAGCTGGGTATGGTAGCAGACACATGTAATCCTAGTGCTCAGGAGGCTGAGGTAGTGGGATCACCTAGAGTTCGAGGCCAGTCTAGGCTACATAGTGAGTTCCAGGCCAGCCTGAACTACATAGGGAGAGACTGTCTCAAAAAAAAGAAAAAAAAGGAATAATGGAAGCTTATTTTCTTTCTTGCTTGCTTTTTTTTTTTTTGGTCCCAGGGATCAAACTCAGGACCTTGCGCTTTCGAAGCAGCCGGCAGTGGAAGCTTGTTTTCAAAAGACTACTAATCTTTTCTATACTATCTATGATACTATAACATTTATATACAGCCTTAATATATTATACTACACAAATTGAACCTGGATTTCTTGAGGTTTGACCACCTTCTGCTTCCACTTTTAACCTATTTTCAGACAACCCTACAAATAAAAATATTATTATCAATTGCATGCATACGGTCACAGCCTATTGTGAAAAAGTACATGTAACTCGGTACTTATTAAACATAGCTTCTCTTGACTTAGAAACTCAAATGTCTTTTTCTTGCTTATCATGTTCTAAAAAGAAGACAAAGGTGAAAACAGATGCTTCAGGAGATTAATATTTCAAAGAAATTCAGGACTCTCACTATCAGTCTTGCTGTTAACTATTATGATGATACCTGCTTAACTTAAATGAAAAGACTCCAAGCTTGGCAATGACAACTGCGATAACTTGAACTGATGGCAAAATTATAGGAGTGTATTTACAATGAGCGTGGAAGAATTAACCCAAGCTCAGAAATTCTTCATGTTAAAAAAGGGCCAAGTAAGAAACTGCTATTTTTCCATCTGTTAAAACCAACCCAACAGAGATGCTCAGCCTGATGCACAGGTCCCTTTCTCACCCGGGATTAAAGTTTTACTCTTGCCTCACTAAGCAACTGTTTCTAACTTTCAGGCAGTGTAATTTGAAGCCTACATGCTCATTCAAAATTCTAAGAGAGCATTCCCAAATCACCACAAGACATGCACACATCCTGGTGGGATCTCTACCAACACAAATTCTGTTTCACACTAAAAGTGAAAAAACTGCTCATCATGACATAAACACATGACTTTTTAAACCACTTTATACAGGTGACATTTGCTTATGTATAGGAACAGGGATGAAGGGAGGCTGTGCCTGTGTGTTAAGATAAAATTAAAAGGTTCACACTTTCCATGTAAAGACAATAAATATCTAAAACTTTTGGATCTCTCCAATCTCCCACAGTGACCAATATGGTTTCTAGAGAATTGAAAAAAGAGGCACAAAGAAGAGGTTATGTTAAACATAGTGTGAATTTTCCTAAGAATATGAAAGACACCAGTGTAAGTCACTTTCAAAAATAACTCACACTTTACTTTTTAAAATTTTGCAAAGCGTACATTGACAATTCTAGCAATAAATCCTACCTTAAAGAAAGTTTCTAATTTATGATAAACACAATCTAAACTTTTAACCAAAAGAGGGAAGAATATAAAACAATGCCAAATATTTAGTGTTTCCAAACGAATATCTTAAATTTTTTCAATTAAGTACATGGCCTTTAATGCCTTTCAATCATAGATTTTAAAACCTATTATCAATTATAACACTTAATTAGTTCCTGTAATTTCTCTTGCTAGGCAAATGATGAAACTAAGAAGTCAGGAACTATTTTTTAAGGCCACAAACCAAACAAATCAGTACTAATGCTTCAAGCAGCAATTTTTAAAGAAAACAAAAAATTTTTAAATAATTATAGAAGTTTATGAAATCAATTAAAAAAGCACTCAAGCATACTTCTAAAATATCCCCCAAATGTACTTCTCCATTTCAAGAACTAGACATCATTCACCTTTAGAAGTATTTCAAAGTTTACTTTGATTATTCCCAGAACTCAACACTTTATTACCACAAAGAGAGAGATAGACACAGAGAGAGAACAAATCCGAAGGCTACAATAAGAGAGTGACTGCTCCCCACTAATGGCTCTTACCTGCGATCCTCCGATTTGGGGATGGGGTTGGTGCAGCGCTGGCTGTTATACTTGGCCACATATTCACATTGCTTGAAGGGGGCAGTCTTGTCCTCCAAAACGTGTCTGATGCAGAATGCGTAGCCGTTGAGTCGCCGCTGCTTGCACAGTTTGGGGCTATATGAGCACAAGGGCTTATTGTCAACCTCAGAGAAGTGTATATGTTTCCCTTCATACATCACGTGACTCTATTCCTTGCGAACATCAGCTAAACGTCTACCACAAAAAAAAAAGAAGAAAATCCAAATGATAAATCAGATTATAAGACAAAAAGCTGAGAATTTCACTGAGGGACTTGCGGCCCCACAGCCATACCTGAGTTTAAATCTTCTGCACCACAGCAATAATAAGAGAACCCGAAGGGTACGAGAGTTTGGATGCTGTTGAAATCAAGATGAACCAGACTGTCTACAAAAATATCAAAAGGCCTAGCTAACAAATAGATATAAGCAAGGCTAAGTCACCCAGGACATAAATTGTTATCACCTTTTTTTTTTTTTTGTACCAGGGATCGAACTCGGGTACTTGGGCTTGCACAGCAGGCGGCGAAACCACTGAGCGAAATCTCTGGCCCCTGTTATCACCTTTTTTAATGTGATGGATTCTATGCTGCAATCTAACATCTCAATAATAAAGTCAAATAGGAAAATAAAAGGCATTATAAAGTATGTTACCTTTATGTCTACTTTAGAAAGTAATTAAGACATGGTTATAAAAATATTTGGCAATCTGAAAGAAATGTTTCGATGAAACACAATCAACATTGAGCTAAAACCACATTTACTCAGGTTGAATTTTGTGAACGTCTCAAAATAGCCAAGCTCTTCCACCAAATGAATATCACAGGTGCAGGTCTTTTTACTTCACTACTGGCAGGTTTTTTGTTTTTGTTTTTTCTGAGAAGGGATCTCACTATGTAACTCAGCCTGGCTTTGAATTCACTATGCAGCTCAGGCTAGCCTCAAAATTGCAGCAATCCTCCTGCCTCAGATGGCAGAGTCCTGGGATTCAGGTGGGGGCACCATGCCTCACTTTCACCATTAGTGAACATTAGGTTTATCTTTAAAAATGAAATCCTTTTACTATGCTGATAAAATTAACCGTAGACCAGGTCTTGCTCAGAAATTCTGTATTTTTAATGGTATTATGATTTGTCAATGTCCCCCCAAAGCCTCAGTGTTCATAGGTAGGGCTTTAGGAGGTGATTAGATCATGGGGGCAAGATATTCACTAGTGGATCAGTCCACTAATGAGTTTACAGATAAATGTAATGCTGGGAGAAGCAGGGTCATGGCCTGGAAGGATCAATATCCCTCTCTCCTCGCTTGATCTCTATCTGCTTCCTGCTTGCTCTGCCATGGACTGCATCTCCTCTGCGATGCCCCTCTGCCGTGCCGCCCTGCCTTGGAGCCGGCTAACTATGGACTGAAACCTCTACAAACTGGGCCAACAAAAACCTCTCCTTTAATTTGTGGGTGTCAGGTATTATGTCTCAGCGATGAAGAAGGTAACTAAGATGTATGGTTATAAAAATATCTGACAATCTGAAATGTGTCTATGAAACACAAAACAGAGCAAATTCCTGCCGTTAAAAAACATGCTATTTTCTGCCACTATTCCCCATACCAATCCCATCAAACTCTAAACTTCTTGAGCCCACGGACTTGTCACCCAACCACATTTTCATTATTTCAGAGTCCTGCACCATGGGGAGCTCCTCATCTCTTGAAATAGGGTGAGGATTATGGCTTGAGTCTTTTGAGAGTGCACAAGAAAATGAAAAGAAATTACACAATACTCAGGCAACCCATTCAGGACCCCTCCTGTCTCTCAGGAGCAATTCCTATTCCCCAATAAATTTTCCTACTCTTAAGAAAGAAAGATAGGGCTGGGGATTTACCTCAGTGGTTCCGCTGCCTGCCTTGCAAGCACAAGGTCCTGAGTTCGATTCCCAGTAACCCCCCCCCAACAAAAAAAAGAACGAACGAACAAACACAGTACTCATTGCCTTTGTACATACAAAAGGACCAAGGGCAGCACTCATACAATACCATAAAGTCCACAAACATGAAACTCAATCTGTTCTGCAAAGTCAGGCTCTTAGTGAGCTGACACAGTCTAACCCACCCTCCTAAGGTCACCAAGATGCCACAGGGAACAGCTTAGTAACAGTTACTGGAAGAAAGACAGTGAGTGCTTACCATGTTCAAGGTGCTGGGTTCCATTCCCACCAAAAAAAGACACACAGAAAGAGAAAGAAAAAAGAACTTCTTATACCACTGAGTGACCATACATAAATGCTTGAGTCAGAAGACATGGATTGTTCAAGTGCCAAATCTGTGCCACTTACTGTGTTACACTGAGCAAATCGTCAAGCTCACTAAATCTCAATTTTCTCATCTGTAAACAGCTATAACAGCAGCTATGTTATTACCAGGCTGTTCTAAGGACCAAATGATACAAGGCACACGACACACTTAAGGATCACACCCACCACATGGCAAGCACTGGATAAATAGAAGTTATTATTCGTAATTAATTCTATTATTCATAATTGTTAATTCTTATATTACTAGCTGGGCATGGTGGTGCATACCTGTAATCCCAGCACTCAGAGGATGCTGAGGCAGGAAGATTGCAGACAGTTCAGGCCAGCCTGGACTAAAACAAAACAAATGAAAAAACAAAACAAAACAACAACAACAACAAATATATATATATATATATATAAAACTGCCGCCTGCCAATAATAGTGGAGAACCTGTATCCTTCTTGAGAAACACTTCACTCACTTTAGTAGAAAAAGAAAAAACCCAGACCAGGGATTTAGCTCAGCGCCACCACACCAGTTTGATCCTCGGTACCAAAACAAAAAACACCCTGAGATATTAGCTTCATTAATAAAAATATCACACATTACTGAGTAAGCCGAATAATCACACATCAATACAGTATAAAATAAAAATCAAAACTTTCCCTTTTCACTTGACTAGGCTGCAAGGGAGAAAAGTTAGACTAAGAAGTTAAATGTAGCTACTCCGAAGGTCTGGATATTCAGGACAGGAAATATGTCAAAGGACACCCACGTCATTTTTGAGGTTCACATTCTCTGTGCTACTACCATCCCACCAGCAAACCCTGCATCCTCCCACGACCTAGTTCCACAAAGGCTATACGCACTGCAGGGGGAAAAAAGCCCTGGATAAAAGCAAATTAAAAAATGAATTTACAGAATCAGTCTGTCTTTATGAAAAGGGAAGTCTATGTGTCGATAAGCGTGAGAGTATTTTAATCATAGAAGGCCAAGGGCCAGAATGAGGGGTAGGAGGGCTGTTTGTGTTTTCTTCTGATGTACTCAAGGTACTATACATAACCACATCTGTCAAGATGATGAGTTGCTATTTCTTATGTTATCTGGCCCCTAACTGAACTGGCTAGAAATGTGGGAACAATGCTGAGTAATAACGGCAGCATTATTACTCCTACAATGAAACAAGAATGGCTTCATTAGGAATAACACTGATTCCCCACCACCATCAGGGATCGAACTCAGGACCTTAAGCGTGCAAGGCAGGCACAGAGCCACTGAGCTAAACCACCCCCCCACCCCCCACACAGGAATAACATTGATTTTGGGCTGGGTGTGGAGGTGCCTGCCTATAATCCCAGCACTCAGGAAACCGGGACAGAAGGATCACTCCAAATTCCAGGCCAGCTTGAACTACAAAGTGAGACCCTGTCTCAAAACAAGGGGAAAAAAAAAAAAAAAAGACAATGGCTGACCTTTATCCTATAACCTAAAAACATAGTTCCTGTACGTTTCCTAGCAGAACATGTGCTTAGCACATGTGAAGGACTGGGTTCAATCCCAAACACCAAAAAGCGAAACATTTCTGTTTAAGAAGTTTTTCATTTTTTGTTTTGTTCTTTGCATGGTTGTTGCAGTGCTGGGGGTGCTAAGCAAGCAAGTCTACCACTGGGCTACCCTCCCCCGTTTTTTGTTTTAACTCAGAATTGAAAGCTAAATTTACCAAATTCTTCAACATCTGTGGTGCTTGGGATCAAATCCAAGGCCTCAGGCATTCTAGGCAAGAGCTTTAGAACTAAGCTCCTCCCCACCCTTTTTCTCTGCACTTGGGTCAGACTGTAAAAGCATTTCAGTGAAGTTCCTTGGGTGGCCTGGGTTGAAAATTGTGCAGCAGCTCAGGTTTTCAAACTTATTTGCATACAATTTAGCAAAATAACTTCTAAATATCTGTGATTCTTTCTCATAGTTTGTGTGCACACATGTATGTGATATGCTTTTTCCCTTTTTCACGATTGGATTTAACAGGCTTATCTGTTTATTATTTTTAACATCATCTACAAAAAAATTTCTCTTGAATTTACTAGTACCTTCATTTACCTGGTTTTTTAAATCTTTGCTAATACTATCCCTCCTACTTTTGCTTCATTTATTTTATTCTACTTCTTGGGTTGAATATTTTTATTTTCATTCTTTTCATGCTTAGTCTTTTTACATCTATAAATTTTCCTCTGGGTACTGTTTTAACTATACCTTATAGGTACTAATACATAGAAGTTTGACTATCAGTACTTTCTAGCTCATCTGGACTAGACTTTTTAATTTCTCCTTTAATAAGAGTCACTTCATTTTTTTTTTCAGATGGTAGAGGTTATAATGTTCTTTGTTGAAATTCCAGAGACAAAAAAGAAACATAAGCTGCATTATATCTTCGGTTTTTAGACTTGACTAAGATTTTCTCTGGGGGCTAACAGATACTCCTTTTTTTTTTTTTTGGTACCAAGGATCGAACTCAGGACCTTGCACTTGCTAGGCAGGCACTGTGCCGCTACATCCTGGCACCTAAGAGATATTCTTGTAACTATTTTTTTTTTTGGTACCAGGGATCAAACTCAGGTCCTTGCGCTTGCACAGCAGGCGGAGAAACCACTGAGCTAAATACCCGGCTAAGAGATATTCTTTAAAAAGAATACTGATATACTGATTAGGGGCCCGGGATTTAGCTCACTGGTTTCGCCCCCTGTTGTGCACCCCCTGTTGTGCAAGCACAAGGACCTGAGTTCGATCCAGGTACCAAAAAAAAAAAAAAAAAAAAAAGAATACTGATTGTTTCCAGGTCGTGTTGTTTCTTACATCATTTATGTTACTAACATCCCTATGTCATTATTTTCTCCGTTTGTTCTATTAAGGCCTGGAAGAGCTGAATCAAAATCCCCTACTATAACCCACTCATCTGTTTCTGCTGATATTTTATGTCTTGGAAACTGTACTGGTATGTTACTTCGTGTGAGATACCAGACTGTCAGCTCCTTATCTCAAGGCCAAGGGTGCAGGCTTGCATCTTGCATTGCCAGCTATCCCGTGAGGCAGGAGGATCTCAAGTGCAAGTCCAGCCCCGAAGACAACCACCCCCTAACCCCCTCAAAATAAAAACAAAAAGAGCTGCGACTATGATTATTCACCCCATGGTGTTCAACCCCCAGAAATG